CATGCAGAGGAGGGAGAACAGACCCCCCCCGAACAGCCCCCCCGCCGCTGCAGCAGCATCCCGTGGTGGCACTGGGTTAGTCAGCAGGCAAAAGCACACAGTCCGTTCCATTCTGCAAAAATCAAACCAAATGACTGTTTTTCAGAGATCGTTTTTAATGTGTCTTCTAGAAGAGCTGTGTGGGGTTTGATCTCATTTTCCTTTGGCAGTTCAGCTGTTTTTCCCCTGCGGGTAGGGGTTTGACATGGCAGAGAGCTTGTGCTCTGGCTGATTAAAACTGTGAAGCCTTCACTTGCAGGTCCCAGGGTCATCAGCTTCTGTTTGCTATTTTGTTTTGGTTTTTTTTTTTAATGATTTGTGCTGAAAAAAATGTGTGGGGCTGTGTATAAATATACTATGTAATAGCTTGTTTTTACTGTGCTATCCAACAAGTGGCCCTGCAGCAAGAAATAATAGGGGAGTTTGGGGATTCAGAAGAGAATTCCTATCAGTCCCCTGTGCAGGGCAGCACAGTCTGTATTTTTGTAGGAAGATGGCATTAATATTACAGGGTGATGTTTGGCCTTTCCTTCTCAGTCTGAGGCAGCTCTAGGGGGAACCATGTGATTTCAGTGGGTGTTAGGTCGTTGCATGCAGAAATGCCTCCAGGGTTCTGTGAATGCGTCCTTGGTGGAGGCAGCCCCTGGTTAAAGCACAGGCTCAGCTGAGCAATGCAGTTTGCAGGTAAAGAATGAGCCACAGAGATGATGGAGCTTTCCAAACCGTGAATGTAGTGCTGTGTACAAGCGCAGGTTGCAGCAGGCTTTGCACTCTGCTGATGGGAGCAGCTCCTGCCTTTGCTTCCAGTTGCCTGAACTGATGCAGCTTTGCTGCAGAACGGCGCAGATGTAAGGGTGGTAAATGCTGGCCCATGGTGAATGAATGAGGTTGTGCTCTGGCTGGGTCGGTCCCAGTGAAAGCCAGACTGCGTGGATGCTCTCCTGCTTCATTCCCTGTTTTCTGGAGCAGCTGAATTAAGTTTGTAGTTTGAGTGAGAAAATGTCTCCGTCCTCCCCTCTTTTCCTGGGAGTGGTCTGCTGCAGCCTTAACACTTTGGCTGCTTGTGCCCTAAATAATGATACAGCATTTGCCTGTGAAGCAAGAGAAGTTTTACTAGCCATGCAAAAAAAACCTTTATTGTTTACTTCTGCTGGAATTTTAACTGGTATAACATAACAAAGACAGACCGATACTCCGAACAGTGTTGTAATAGAAGGAACTCCCAGCTCCCATCCAAATAGTCTTTCCCTTTGAATTGCAGTCACTTGAATATAGATTGAAATCACATTAAGCTGCTTTAATGAAAAACAAATGTACTCCTTGGCTTGCTGCATTCAAGACGTTCAGGCACTTTGGGAGCAGTCTGGGTGGCGCAGGCGGCTGCAGGCACAGTGCAGGCAGTCAGGTTTTTGTTTCTTTTCTGGAACTTCCTCCCTAAGGGCACCCCATGATGTCAGCGAGCCGTGAGCTCGCCGCGGCCACACTGAGCGTGCCGCTGGCAGTTCCCAGCCGGGCTCGGCCTCGGAGGCACAGCTGGGAGCTGAAGGCAGCGAACGGGCTGTTTCTCTGCGCTGTGGGTAGCTCAGAGCCTTTTGTGATCCTCTGCCAGCCCTGTAGCACCGAGCATCACCTGTTAGAGGTCAAACCCTTCCCCTGGGGTCGAGTCTGACGGCAGCATGGTAGCCAGGGGGGGAATGGCACGATTTTGGAGTCTGGAGAGCCTTCAGATGGGTACGTGTGAGTAGAACATGCTCTCTCTCTCTCTCTCTCGCTGTTTTCTGCAGTGTTTTTAGATTGAACTGATAAACTGTGGCAGTCAGGGTGCCTGATTCTGAAAACGCTTATACTGTGTCATCCACGGGAGCCTGCAGCCTTGCACTGGTGACAAAGCTGCTAGGAGATCAGAATCAGTCCCAGGCTGTCTTTTAAGTTTTTGCATCCCGTTGGAAAGCCCACCCCTACCTCTGATATTTCTGTCTGTAGACAATAGAGGAATAGATGCAGAATGCAAGCCAGTGATTTTCGCTTGAGTCTAAGTACAAAGACAATGTAAGCTTGTTGATTTGGTACAGAATAATGAACAGTTATTGGTCCCAAAATTGCAGTCATTTTTCATCTGGAGTCAAATGAATTAGGTTATTTTGATGTGCCGTTGTTACTGGAACAAACCAACAGGCAATACTGATAGTACAGTGGAGATGTATAAAGGATCACTGGGATTAATTTTTTTTGGTGTTGCTTTGAAAGCTAAAAATTGATTTAATGAATTATTTATTTGCAGATTTTTTTAATAAAGCAGTTTCAGTAAGTTTCACAAGATGTATTTTAGAAGTTTATCAGCACTCAGATTTATGAGTCTGTAGGGAAAAAAATCTATTCTTTTTAAATAGGGATTCTGCACCCTTCCTGGTTAGGCAGATTATACCATTAATGTGAGTGTATACTTAAAATGCTGGGGAGTTGAAGAGAACGGTTGAATAGCCATGTTCTGTTACATCAAGACTATGCCATATTTTTCCACTTTGAAAGGAAAGAAAAATCTTCCACATTTTTTAGTGAATCTGTGCAGTAATCAGCTTTGATCTCTCTTGCAAATTAATACCCAAATGACCAAAGATGCTTGTGATGGTATGAGTGCCCGTAAGGAGGGGCTTGAAGTGTTTCTCCCTATAAGGTAAATAATGGATAGGCAACGGCGTGCCTGTTAGTTGTGTAGGTGTGTGGAGTAAAGCCAGGAGTCATCTCTTTGCGACTCACCCATCTGGAGCCCAGAGCTCGGCAGGCTTGAAGCAGGGCGGAGAAGAGGCAGGGACAGGGCTCTGCTGCTCGGCCTTGCTGCTAGGTGGAAGTGGCAGGTTCAATAACTCCGCTTAAAGGTCCTTTCCCAGGCACTCGGGAGTGAGAGGGATGCTCTGCAGGCTGCCTGGCAACTTACCTGGGACACAGTAACCATTAGAAAAGGAGTTCAGTGCTAGCGGCCCATTCTGAATTGTATTTTTTTAATTTACTATTTTTTATTATTTTTTACTTTTTTTTTAATTGGATTTTTGAGACTGTATGATCTTCAGACTCTCTGGTTATTCACAGCTTGGGCCTGCCATAGGAATAAACCTTTAGGGGTAAATTAACAAGGACCCGAGAGTGCACTCAAGCACCGGGCCACTGGTCATGAACGCTTGTTGATTACTAGCTCATCCCCTGATCTGTTTGAACATTGCAGCTGGCTTTCAAAGGTAAACCTACTCTGAAAGGGTCTACCACTGAGCAGACTGGACGTGAGTCAGTATTACTTGGTGCCGAGATCAGTCATAGAATCATGGAATCATAGAATTGTTTAGGTTGGAAAAGACCTTTAAGAT